CTCCTGAAAAAAAAAAAAATACCTGCTGGGAATTTCTGAGCAAGTGGGAACAGGGAGGTGGCCGGAGCCACCATTGCCTTAAAAGGCACGACAGAGCTAGTGACTTCGCTGAGCTCACCTGGGGATGGCCTTGGGGGGTGGAGGGGTGAGTCGTTGGCTGCACCTCCTGGGCTCACCCCCAAAGTATTCCGCCTCCTCCCCAGATCCTCACAGACGGCCTTGCCAGCAAGGGCTGCTGCGCTGCCTGGCCCGCTGGCCCTCCCGACCCCAGCCCCGGGGGCCCCAGCCCTGTGCCTCGCCCTCCCCCCATCTGCTCTCAGCACGCAGCTACTTGTCTGAGGCTCCCGGGTCCCCGCCCGCCCTCTGTGCGGTGTCGCACCGCATAGGCTGGTACTCGAGGCTTGCCAACCTCTCCAGCGTCACGTCCCCTCCCCGGGGCCAGACTCCCGGCCTGCTCCCAGGAAACCGGGTGGCTCTCCCCTGCCCTTTCAGCAGCAGGCTCAGAAGCCCGGGCTGGGGCTGGACTGCCGGGAGGAGAGGGGCCTGACTCAAACTCCGGGGGAGGCCGGAAAGTGACAGCGAGGGAGGCGGCCTCCAGGAACCTTCCAGGGCCTCGTAGCAGATCAGAACTGTTACAATGCAGAATCCTTACCATAGCTCATCAGTCGGCCCCCTCGACCCGCCCGCACAGCGCTGCCCAGGGTCCAGGCCCAGCAGCCCCTGGCTCGCGAGGAGCCGCGCTCACACTGGCTTTGCCTCCAGGGGGCACTGCCTGGTGGGCAGGTGGTAATAGCCTGAATACCTCACCTCCTCTCAGGCACTGTCCTCAGTACTTTACGCGTATAGACTCAGTCTCCAGGAGCACCACCTGACCCAGCTTCTGTTACTACCCCATTTTGCAGAGGAGAAACTGAGGCTCAGAATGAATGAGCAGCTTGCCCAAGGGCACACAGCAGATAACTGGGAGGGCTGGGATTTGAGGCCTGGCATCTCTTCGCCCCGACCCTCTGCTACGAGGGGCCTGCAAAAGCAGCGTGGCTTAGAAGGAGGAGTACAGTACTCATTTGTGAGCACCTACTGTGTGCTAAGGCTTGTGCTAGACCCTTTCGGAGTGACTCTGACCCTTACAACCATTAGTCCCATTTGACAGATGGGAAAATGGGGGTCCCAGAGAGACTCAGAGAGTCCTCGGAGGTCACAGCGCTGGACTATGCTCTGGGGGGCATCTCCTCTGCTGTCTCCCTGAGCGGTCACGACAGCCCCGTGGGTCGGGAGCTGGCGCCCCTGTTACCACCCCTGTTTTCACAATGAGAAAACGCAAGCTGCCTAGGGGCCCCTCGCGTGGGACTCTCTGGAGTGCTGAGCAGGGATTCAAATCCAGGCTCCAGAAGGTAAGCGCTAACCCCTGCACCGCGCTGCCCTCACCATGTAGGTGCCTGGGGGCTGCTGGTGAGGAAGGGGAGGGACAGCGTTTCCCAGCAACGCCCACAGCACCAACGTCCCTCTGTCCCCTGCCCCTCACAGACTCACACCACGGGCCGGGACAGATGGGCGCGGGGTG